GAAGTGGAAGAACAGGCGCCCAAACTTAAGGACAAGAAAAGCGCCAAGAGCAAGGCCAAGAGCAAGGAGGCCACGCTAAAGAGCGAGCCACGAGGCCCGCCAGGTGGCCACGCTGTCCTGTACTACCAGACATGTGCCTGGGAGGGCCTTTTGACTAATTCGGAAGCTCAAGACATGATTGCCAAGCTTCAACTGAGTGCCAATGATTTCAAGTAGGATTCCAGAAATACGAGGTCTTGCACGGTCCCATGTCTAAACTGTCAGCCCAAAAAAAGAGTGACAATGTGCTCCAAAGCACTTGTTGTATATAAGTCTTGTTTCCAAAGATACGCGTCAATAATGGTGCGATTCCTCGAAATTAAGCTCTGGCTTCTTTCCAGCCCGAGCGTGTTCCTGACCCTACGAGGTGAATGCTTTCAATCAAGACTGTATGGTGGCTGCAACATATTGTGCGTCAATTTCAATCAACCCACCCATTTTCATGACAAGACATTGTGGTGTGAAGATCTTGCATAGTGGTTCATCATGGTGTCCAAAGCCACATTCAAAACAGTCTGCTTGGCCTTCTAGTGTTCAATCGTGTGCGCTGGTGGCATGAGATTGACAAAGGCCCAATCTATTCTTTTTGAGGCAAAGCGGACAGCCAACACCGCGGCTCCAAAATAGTTTGTGCGGCGCATATGAAGCCACTGTTCGCTGAACATAGCCGTTCGAGATGTTGAAGCAAGACACATGTTTTATTTGTTCCTGATCAAGTCCAAGAAAGAATTGAAACTTGCACCTGTTTATTCTGTTTTCTACCATTTCTGTTTTCTACCATCCTTTCCGACTGCGATATAATTTTTCTGCTTCATGGGGGAAAGAAGACTCACGGGAGTCCTGTCCACACCGACCATGTCGCTGACTCCTGCGTCTGCAGGTGCCGATGCTAAGTGGCACCATGACAATGGCTTCTACCTTAGGGATTCAGCAGATGCTGATGCCAGCATGCGTGATGTTGGTACGCAATCAAATAGAGATGGCACAATAGTCCACTCCTCACTGTGACCATCGGGTCTGTGGTCCCGCGGGGCACGTGCACTGCGCGTCGGTGCGCATTCCCGGAATGGCTGGAGGTTGCTTCCGGTGATGCTTGATGCTTAATGTCACATTGGTGTCATGTAATGTTCAACGCAATTTTTCTAGGACATGTTTAAACATAGTCGATCTTTGTTTGGTCTCATACAGACCTTGTACAAAAGGATCTTGCACAGCAGCGTCTAGAAAGAACCTGTCAAGGAGATCTTGCACACGTCTTCTACAAAGGGAACTTGCAGAATCCAATCTGGTATTGATGCCACGGTGTTTGGAGTCGCCACTTAATCCCCGTCGGCCGCTCCACTCGCCCCACTCGCCCCCCTCGCCCCACTCGCCCCATTCGCCTCACTCGCCCCACTCGCCCCACTCGCCCCACTCGCCCCACTCGCCCCACTCGCCCCACTCGCCCCACTCGCCCCACTCGCCCCACTCGCCCCACTCGCCCAAACATTCCATTCACGTTACCACCTCTATTCCTTTTTCATACTGCTGTGTGGTGAAACCAAAGCAAGCAGGGCAAGCGGGGCAAGCGGGGCAAGCGGGGCAAGCGGGGCAAGCGGGGCAAGCGGGAAGAACCACCGATCTTCCCTCGGCTTGCAAGTAGGGCAAGCGGGGCAAGCGGGGCAAGCGGGGCAAGGAGGAAGATTCACTTATTTTCCCTAGAAGCGGAGCAAGCGGGGCAAGCGGGGCAAGCGGGGCAAGCGGGGCAAGCGGGGCAAGCGGGGCAAGCGGCAGAAATCACTTAGCGGCCCCGCGGGGCACCCACACTGAAACAGTACAACATGGAGGACACGCGTGAACATGCTAGGAGGCATGTAACATGTTAGAAAAATACAGTGAAAACCTAGGAAAATGTTATATCTAAAAATGCTTTCAAAATATAGTGAAAACCAAGACAATGTTAACGAGCGGAAACGTTGAGCAGGAAATCCGATTTGGTTTCTGTAGATAATTTTAGATGATGAGCAATGTAGTTTGGTGATAGGAAATAGTGGCTGACTCGCGTACAAGACATTGCCATGAAACCTTGGAGCAAGATGCGGATGGTATAGGAAAAAAGATGTATGAGTTGTAAGATTTTAGGAGTTGCATGGGAAAATTGGTTTCATGGTAATCTGTGTGAAGTTAGAAAAGTGTGATTTCGTTCACAGAGTAAGAAAAATAAATACAATCTGCAGATTAGAGTATTTATAATGCTTAAAACTGTTTGACGTTTTTTGGTGCCTCCCTGATTCTGGTAGTTTTGTGATAAGAACTACAAAAACGATCTACTGGTAAACGGAAGGAATAGTCTTTCCGGTTTAGAACTGAGTCGACTGTCAAGTGATGCATAGGCTCCAGGCCTCTGGTTATTGTCACAAAGCATTGGAATGAAGATTGCGCCCAGGAGCCACCTAGGTTAGGAGACAAATGCTGTAATATCATTGTAAGAGGCCGTACTGAGAAGGCTGAAACGGAACTAAAAGTGAATCTTGTACTAAAACATCGAGAAAGAATTTGAATCTTCTAATGGCAATGACGGGAATGATATGCATCTGTACGTCCGTGATAGTATGTGTGCCTTTTAAAAGGGATGTTTGGCGAGTGGGATAGCTGAGAAGATTTTCCGGGATGCCAAACAATTATCTCTATCGATGTCAGGGATGATGCTATTCCGCGACATTTCCTGTAAAATACCTATTTTCCAGACCCTTGGGGGGTGGGGGGGGGTACCCAGGTCTGTAAATGGCCTAAATATATATACTTTTGATTTGGACTGCATGTTCGCCACTGTTCTATATTTCCCGTGGGTTTTGCATTGTTTTCCTCGATTTTCATTCGTTCTTATACCCTTTCTTACGTATGTTATAATATTGTCTTGGGTTTGCACTGCCCATTTTGCGAGTAGAGCTATATTTGATTTCTCACCGTACGGCCAAAATGTTGCGGAACTTCGCGGAGAAGCATGGACCACGATTCTGGGGAGAAAACAATTTAGACTTTGAGAGGTCACATGACCACTGTTCACACAAAAAAACGGGTATTATTTATCTACAATAGGTGGGAGCAAACTTGCGCTGTTTTAAGATAAATGAGCAACCAAAGGCGGATTTACGGAACTTAAGATAGAACTTTTCACAATGCCGCAGTACATTGTAGGAAACATATTTGGATATAGAAGTTACAAAATCGTGGAGTTTACCCTAAAAAGGTCCATTTAATCATTGGAAAATTATGACCCGATAGCAATTGTTGATGTTGGGGCGCTTCATGTTTGAGCCATGCCATATGGATGAGGTGGAGTTTCACGCGCCCCCGCGCGAGTCAAAAAGCAAGCGCTGGCTTTCGTTCCACCCCTTCTCAGGTATATATACATATATATATCTACATATATATATATATATTTATATGTATAAATAACCAACCATATGGATTATAACCAACCATCTGAACGTGGGGGATTGAGCCCCTGGATATGACCGTCAAAGAATAGGGAATATGATGATCAAGCGTCAAATTCAACGGGTACCTTCGATTCAGACAAACGCAAAGTTTGATGCAGCGGAGAAAGATGATTCAAGTATGATCAAAATTGTTCCCCAAGCAGTGTGTCCACACTGAGGGGTTCTCACGGTAGGTGTTAAGGCCCGGTGTTCAATCGAGGTGGTATCGGAAGCGTTTGGCATTTTCCCTGTAAATTTCAAAATTTCCACACAAAATGGCTCTTGTGAAATGTCCATGTGCATTTCGACTGCGCAGGCTCGCACAAAACGCTGGCCACGGAGGTGTCCTCGGCCATTTTCCTTGTAAATTTCTACACGAGATGGCTCTTGTGAGATCGCCCGTGCAACCCTCTCGTCGCTTTGGGCCTGTCAGATCGCTCTCGTTGTGGAAGGAGATCTTGTGCAGAGATCTTGACACGGAGGTCTCTTCTAGAGAGCTTGCGCAGAGATCTTGTACAGAGAGCTCTTATAGAGATCTTGTATAGAGATCTCTTCAAGAGTCTTGCCAAGAGACCTCTTATAGAGTTGTACACAGATCTTGCCAGGCCACCGCTTCTGGAGATCCTGTTCAGACACATTGCGTAGAGATCTCTTGCAGAGATCTGGCTAAAAGGTCTCTTACATAAATCTTGCCAAGAGAGCTTTTATACAGACCTTGTTCATAGATCTCATACAGAGATCTTGCCAAGAGATCTCTTGTCGAGATCTTGTCCAGAGGTCTTGCAAAGAGACCTCTTCTAGAACTCTGTTGGCAAGATCTTGCCAAGCGGTCTCTTACAAAGATCTTGCCAACAGAGCTTTTATAGGGATCTTGTACAGACATCTTGCCAGGAGACTCTTTTAGAGATCTTGTACGGAGACCTGGTGCAGACAGCAGAGGTATTGTTCGGAGATATTTTTTACATAGCTAGAACATAGATCTTACTTTGAGGTCCTTACAAAGATCTTTTGTGGAGATCTCCTATAGACACCTTTTACAGATAGCTTACACAGGGATCTTGCACAGCAGTTTCTTCAGAGAACCTCTCAAGGAGATCTTGCGCACGATCTTCTACAGAGGTTTTCCCAAAGGGACCTTGCAGAATCTTACCTGGTACCCCTTCTTCCAGATACCACCTTGACTGAACACCATGCTTTCACTACTAGGGCCGCTCTTTTCCTGCTAGCTTGCCCCCACTGGGTCCTTTCCACCTTTCCCTTTAAAATCCTCACTCCACACTGTTTGGGGCCTCTTGCCGGGAAAATTGTGTTTTTATATTTTACATACTGTCTTGATATAATCTTTGATCACAAATTTCAAACATGATCGAACCAGTATTGTTTTTTCCCTCCCAGCCTTTGCAAAGTTCGGAGTTTCTTTTTTCCACTGTTCACTGGTGGTGAAATGGTGAAGAGAAACGAATTCTGGGTTCGGTCAAGAAACACGTGCGCTGACCCCAGGCCAAGGTGGAAGCACTGCTGCAGGACAATCACATTTGAGCAAACTGGTTTCCCGAACCATTTGAAAGTTGCATCAAAAGACACTGCAAGGTGGATATAGTCATTTAACACAGGTGCATGCTACTTCTAACGAGATACCTTCTCTTCAAATTTCTGTAAAACAAGATGGCGTTTTCAGCAGTGATGAATCTACCGCTTGCAGGAGTCGGGGTTCAAAGTGATTGGACCTGACTTCATGCAGGAGACGTGCAGTCTTGCAGTTGCCATCTTGCTTTGGGGTATCACTTTACAAAAGTTCACTGCCATGCAAGCTAGTCACTTTCCAGGAAAGTGCCAGATATTTGGATATATTGGGTACAAAGTACGGTACAAACTCCTCCAACATTTTTCAATATCCTGCTGTTCTAGTATTTGTCCAGCAATCCAATAGGTTTGGGAGTCAACTGAACAAGCAACAAACCGGATAGACATTCCGATTGGAGATGGCAAGGAGGCGCTGCCCGTGGATGCCAGCATGGGAGCTGTTCAAGTGAAAGCATGGCATCGCCTCGTGCAATTTGGTGTCAAAGGATGTGAGACAACTGTTCCAACCAATGTGGTAAACCCAACAATCACGGCCAATTGGGTGTGGTTTGTATTATAACAACACCAAATGCTATGATTGGGTATTGTATGGTGTTTGATTGCTGGGTTTACCAGTTTACTGCATTTCCCCACCGAAAAGTCAATGGCGGATGACACGTCCTGTCGAGTCCTATCAATGTGATGGGATGGTATGCATCACATGCGGATGGAGAAATACCAACTGGATCCAACTGGGGCTTCACGTGGCCCTCTAAAATTGTGCAAGATTTGACACTTTCAACAGAATGGTAAGCACTTCTACTCTGCTCAGTTCAGCGGCATGAGGGCATGATATGGCACGCTACATGCAAGGTACTTGCCACTGGTGATGCCTGGAACTTGGCGGAGTCAATAGCAACCCAATAAAACATGTCCAATATCACCATCGATGGGTGGTGATGACACATCCCCAAATGGTAGGTTTCTGGGTTTACCGCATGAGTTGATTTGAGGTATGTGAGGAACACCGTTCACCTCTACGAACTCTTGGAGCGTCTCAAGGCGCCCCCTGTGTCAGTGTTTTCCATCCAGGAAAGCAGCCAATTCAGGTCTAAAAATGGGGTATATATGGGTAATATACATTAATATACCACATTATACCACCAAATGACTGTTCTAACAGGCAAATACACAAACGAATTTTAGCAGTGGCTTAAGGGGTATTTTCATCTGAGAGAAATCCGTTGCGATCAGAGGCACAGCCTGCCGTGGGCAGCTGTGCTGAGTTGCGGCAACTGTTGGATGGTGAGGCGCACCATTGGATGTTGGACATGTTGGTGGCAAAAATCCTGGGTTCAAATGGATAGATGATGTTAAGGCTGAAATCATTAGGAGCTGGTAGCTGACCCATTGGTGCGGCTTTAAGTAGCAGTGCAGTCAGAGATTTTCAGAGGTCGACCCACCGCAACAAGTGATGGAGCGGGGTTGATCGGACCGAATATGCTACAACTTGATACAACCTGTTCCTGCTCTGAACTCTTTCATGCCAGGGTACAGCGAGGCGCAGTCCATATTCATGGTGTCTCCACTCAGTTTGAAAGCCTTTTATCTTCAGTTTGATGTCCGTCACAGTGCCTCCCTTTTGGTCACCGTTTGGGTCGCGTCTGCTTCGAGGTTGGTCTTTGGCATCCTGGGAGCGCTGCAGAGCTTGTATCAAGTCCGGGAGGAGTGCGCAGGTGCAATTCCTGTCAAGTTCGATTCCAAAAGGTGAAGCCATGAATTGACTGAAGTAACTAGCAACCAGATCAACCAGGACTTGAGCAGTCAGTTTAGTGAGTTTAGTGAGCTCTCCGGGGTCAAGTCGGATGTTTGCTCAGCTGGAGGCCTTCTGGAGTTGCTTGCCAGCAGCCCACCGCAGACCGTTTGGGTCAAGGCGAGCTGTGTTGCGAGGGGCGGTACCCTGGTCCTCGATCCGATCTTTGCAATCTTTGTGTATACATTCGACAGTTGTGTTTCAGGATGGTGTGGAGTGGACACCATCTGCGGGTTCGACGCCTCAGCTGGAATGCTGTGCGAGTGGAGCCAAAAGTTGAGCCAGCTCCTAGGTGCTGTTCCGCCAAGGCCATAGTGGTTTCCATCGGAAGTCAGTCGTCAACGTCGAGCCAATGAAGCCACCAGGTGCGTCAAATGCTGTTTGTTGTGAGCTTTCAGATCTTTCAGCGCACATATATATATATATATATATATATACAATTTAATGTATATTCAGAGTTGTAAGATGCTGTAAGTGATTTTAAGTGCCTAGATACCACGATATGCAACTCTGTCGGCTGAATTTTGGCGTGGTGTATTTGTGCCTCATTCCAGCAGCTGTACATCAAATAGCAGCCACAATATCTCATGGTGTTCATGAGATCGGCTGGCGCAGGCTCCCTTCGTAGTGGTGATGCCTTGATGTTTCGTGGAATTTGGCTACCACCAAACACTGAGGAGGCGAGAAATGGATGGATGATGGATCATGATTTCATAGAGCAGACACATCTAACAGAAAATAACAGAACATCACGGGCGCTTAGGTTTGCATGTTTTGATACACACGAAGAGTATGGTATGGATGATATTTCAGGCACGTTCCAGTGAAGAAAGTGATCGTCCGCATGTGACGCACAGATACGGAGCAGATGGATGATGTTTTGGATTGTTTTGGTGTTGGAAGTGCCACCATCCCTGCATTTTTCAAGCAAGTCATCCTTTTCAAAGCGTTAATGGCAAGGTCCTTTCAACTTGGATGTCTCTGAATTGAACATGGGGTATCCCCCCAAATTTTACTGGGAAACGATGAATCATTGGATTTTGTTTCCTTCCCGCTCAATCTTCAGGTACCACACCCATTTGCATTGCTGTGGTTGGATTTTGTGCCATCTGAGTCGACCGCAGAGGACACGATTCGATACCAGTACTCCTTCCAGTCCTTTTCCCGAAGCATTGAAGGCACCCTTTGCGCCTGCAAAGAGCATGGTGTCCGGCTAGCACGTCCCAAGATGTCATAGCCAATATGCCAATACAGTATATTAATGTATATTATATATAATACATATAATGCTACCCAGGTACCATCATTATAGGGCCCCCACATCCCACAGCCAATTGTTTGTTGATGACAGCCGTTTGCATCGCTTGCGCCGTTTCTAAAGCCAGGCGTCATGCGGGTGCTTCGCTTCTACAGCGGCGTGACCTCGACCAAGGCACGTCCGCGGAGCTCCAGCTTTGGGGCTGTTTGGCCACCATGTCAATGATAGCATAAACAACGAGATTTAGGGGCATTACATATATATTTATTGTATATATTTATTTGTTTTATTTGTTTAGTTATTTATTATATTTATTATATTTATTTTATGTATTTATTTATTTCTTACATATTTATTTATCTATTATATTATTTTTTTTAATGATTTATTTATTATATTTATTTATTTATTTTATTTATTTATTTATTTTATTTATTTATGTATTGATTTATCTATTTATTTATTTCTTACATATTTATTTATCTATTATATTATATTTATTTATTTATTCCATATTTATTTAGTTATTGTATTTATCTATTTGTTCATTTCATTTATTTATTCATTATCTTTATTTATTCATTTATTTCTTTATTAATTTTTGGTTTTATTTATTTATTTATTTATTTTATTTATATATTTATTTATTATATTTTTATTTATTTTATTTGTTTATTAATTTATATATTTATTTATTTATTGTATTTTTTAATGAATTAATTAATTAATTAATTTATAATATTTATACATTTATTTATTTATTATTTTTATTTATTTATTTATTCGTTACTTATATATTTATTTATTACATTATTTTGTTTATTTATTATATTTATTATATTTATTTATTTTATTTTTTTATTTATTTATCTATTATATTTATTTATTTATTACTTATTCATTTATTTATTTTTTGATTACTTACTTGCATAATTATTTATTACTTATTTATTTATTACTTACTTACTTATCTCTTGTATTTATTGATTTATTTATTCATTTTTGAAATTAATTTATTACTTTCTTATTTATCTATTATATTTTTTTCATTTATTACTTACTCATTTATTTATTTGTTGATTACTTGCAAATTTATTTATTACTTATTTATTTATTACTTATTTATTTATTATATTTTTTTTATAATATTTATTTATTTATTTCCTTATTCATTTATTGAGTTAGTACTTACATATTTATTTATTACTTACATATTTATTTATTTGCTTATTTATTTATTTGCTTATTTATTTATTACTTATTTATTACTTACTTATCTATTTATGGCTTACATATTTATTTATTTATGACTCATTCAATTATTTATTATATTATATTTTCATTGGTTACTTACTCATTTATTTATTTTTTGATTACTTGCATATTTATTTATTACTTATTTAGTTATTACTTTCTTATTTATTAATTATATTTATTTATTTATTTATTTGTTTGTTTATTTATTTATTATTTACTTATTTATTATATTATTTTTTCATTTATTACTTTCATATTTATTTATTTGCTTATTTATTTATTACTTATTTATTATTTACTTATTTATAGATTACTAACATTTTTTTTTAAATTTCCTTATTACTTTCTTATTTACATATTTATTTATTACTTATTTATTTGTTTATCACTTACATCATTATTTATTTATTACTTACTTTTTCATTGATTACTTACTTTCTTATTTATTTATTACTCACTTATTTATTTATTACTTGCTTCTTTCTTTCTTTCTTTCTTTCTATCTATAGATATATATATATACATTTAATATGTATACATCCACATATTTAGACAAAACCAGACGTCCAACCAAAAAAATGCGATCTGGGAAGATAGTATTTGTTTATATCTGTGTATTGTACATTCCACTTTGAAAATGTCGTAAACCAATCTGTCTTGAAAACTCAATGCCTAGGGCTTACACTTCAAAATGCCCATACCAAATCAGGCAGCAGATGCTGCCCGTGCTGGACATATGCTGATCTATGTGGGTGTGGAGTCCTGGGATGGATGTTTCTGGATGTTTCTGGTACCATTTCAGCACCTGCAGTGTCTCAGCTTTTGGATCAAAGATTTGAAAGCAGAGCTGAAACAACCTGGACATCCTAAACGGCTCAAACTCCTTGATTTGTTTCCAGGCAGCTCTGCTGATTTAGTGGCATTTTTTCGCTGCCCTGTTTCCAATCCAATGCTTCAGACTGCCATCGATGCAAATTCCTTTGATCAGACAGAGAACATACAATTTTTGGAGAGGTTGAGCAGACACCATAGTGTTTAATGACATTCTGGCATTTTTCCCAACATGAGTTCAGTAAGTAACAATGAGTAATAACAAATTTCACAGCCACTGCCCTTTGTTTAGATCCCCAAGTGGTTCCTACCCGTTGTCGCGACCCGGCCATGGATCGCCATGACTGGTGCCCAAGTGCTGGGCCACCAGATCGAACTGTCCGAGGCGAGGTGTTGAACTTGGACAAATGAGAAGTGACTGCAAGACACCTCGGTTGGTTGATGATTATATAATTTTATATATGATATATATATATAATATAGTGTATATATAATATAATGTATATACAATGTAATGTATATATGTATAGATAGTATAATATATATATATAAGTATAATATATATATATAAAGTATAATATATATAGTATCAAGGACTATACTATGGCTATAGCCGATATCTTGGGTATTACCACACTGGTTTTACCTCTAATTTTTGTTTGAGACACAGCGGTGAGACAACAAATCCTGTTTTTTTGGGACCAATAATATAGGTTTAACTTGGCAAAATTATGTATATATAAATGCATTGTATTGTTTTGTGTTTTGGGGGACACCAATTTGTTTCGTGAGATCTTTTGTTGACATTTGTTGACACTGTCTTGTTGAACGAAAACATCATAGTACTGCAGCTACCTCCTGGAGTTTTTCGGCAGGCCAGCGACAAGGACAGTCTCAAGGAGGCAGCAGACCTCCCATTTCGGGTAGAGTTTGGGATGCTTTATTATTTTGCTTACTGTACTGGGTACCACATTGCCAGTTTCAATGGGCATAATTATTGAATATAATTATATATGTAGATATAGAGTCCATTGTAGGGATCCTTCTTAACCAACTTGCAAGTAGTGAAACCAATGCACATTCTGTTTCCGGAACTATCCATTTGGGCTTCGTCTTGCGCTTTTAGCTGCCAATTCTGCTCACAGAGAGCGCCGCTCGGAACAGAGAGCACGTCTTGTAAAAATCCTGAAAGTCCCAGTCTACAGCAGGGTTGGATTCAGACAAACATCAGTTGGGCATGCGGGTGCTTGAAGCTTGGATAACTGCTTGGCCAACCGGTCAGAACGTTGTTCTAAAATATTTGGCATGATGAATACATTCTCCCAATGAACGAATAGCTTTGGGATATTTGTTATGGGTTGACACCACGGCAAGGCTTCGCAAGAGAGCGAGACAGATGGCGAGGCTCATCCGGGATGAAGCCATGTGACTTTCTTCAAGACCCCCCAAACCATGACACAGCTGATACAACCCCTTCCAGAACCCCGTGCCACCTATTTTTTGCTCAGGTAAACTAATAGTTTGCTATGGAAAATCACCATCTTTAATAGGTAAATCAACTATAAATTGGCCATTCTCAATAGCAATCTGTAACAAATTACCAGAGGGTAACCAACACTTTCCAAATGGAAGGCTTCAAAGGCTCGCGCCATTGCGGCCTTTGTGACCTCTGCAGCTTTCCACTCTGTCATGAGCTTGTGCGTGAAACTTGTGCCTCAGCGTCAACAAAAAGGCTTTGTCTCAAGACAGGGGATTTCGCCTTGAACCATCTTTACCTCTGGTAATTTAACAGTTTGCTATTGAAAATCACCATTTATAGTGGATTTACCCATTGATAGCATGGTGATTTTCAATAGTTTTTTGTATGTTTACTCAGAGGGTAACCATCTTTAAGCCCATAGTCCAGCGAAGACTCCAGTGGTTTGATGGCGACTTGGGCGGCTGCACCACCTGGTCCTGAGCATGGAAACATGATGAAACATGTAACATACCTTATATGCCATCGTCAAAAGTTGGATTTAATTTTATATATGGTATTATGCAATATGACTGTATATATAATTTTTTTCCAACAGGCACAAAGGAGCTTTCCGCTGCGGCCAAGCGTCTCTGATGAATTCTGCATCCGCAAATCAGCCCCGGGCAAAATCCGGTCCCATGTTGTCCCCAAAAGCTGAAGCAACTAAACCTTTACAGGTGTTTAGAAACTCAGCGGGTTGATCAGGCATGTCTGTGCAGATCGGTCGATCTTGAATGACCTGATAAAAAGCATGGGAAATTGCTTTACAAAAGGCTGGCGGATACTCTTTCAACGCAGCAGTCTGCCATTGACCAGATTGGTCCTTGCCTATCGTGGTCGTTCGGGGTATCTCAGTACGCACCCGATTTGCATGCAGGCAGAAAACAAACTGCGGTAAATTCAACAGGAGCAGATGCGTGGGTTTGCTTGACTTGGCACCCATCAGCCCCTGGGAAAAACGCAAAAGCTCAGTGTGAGGCAAGCGCAGTATTGCTCTGACCAACGGAAGCCTCCAGATCGACGCAGCACATTGCTCATCTGGTTCAGCTGGATGTTCAATCATCCCATGTCCTCCCGCAATGGCCAGCTCCATCAGCGCAAGCAGAGCAAAAGCAAGCAATGCGTTGCCCACAAAGAGTTGCTGCAATTCTCGCAAAGTCACGCTTTCCATGCCCCATAGGTTGTCAATGTCCCGGATGATGCGCGGACCACGGGTCGAAGCAACTCCAGGGGCTGGTTCTTCACTTGTCAATGGAACAGAGCGTGCTTTTGACCAAGACTCGCACGGCGGTCCAGCAAGCATGGCTATCACGTATCCCTTGCGGATAGCGTCTAACCAATACTCACACGTATGTCGATTTGTAGCATCGCCAAGCACAGGGTCGATGACTATGTCCAAGGAAATGACCATGAGCGTGAACGCAGTCTGCTCCTTGGCGAGTCCATCCAGATAATACTGTACATCACCTCGACGTCTTCTTCCAGAAAAGAGGTGCAATAGAATCCGAAATCGACCCACAGGCTTGTGGACCGGCACATCTGTTTGTTCTGATGGATCCCAGCAAAAGTTGTTGCAACGCTTCTCCAATTCCTTGATGTCATACTTCTCCACCTGTGCACCGATATCGCACCTCAAGAAAGGCCATTCCTCTACCGTGGCAAGTCTGCGCAGAACACGAATAGCACACTCCGGAGCGAAATGCAAGACCTGCGCATCCTCGGGCATGAGGGTCTCCGCAAAGAAGTCCAGAGTCCTCCGCAATCTCGTCCAGGAGATAGTGCAGTCGCCAACGAAGTTCTTGACGGTGAGATAGTATTGATCAGTATCAGTCGCATCTGCAGTGGCATCAACAAGAAAATCATAGAGTTTGCCGTCAATGTCAGGCTTCTGTCTTCTTCTCGTTGCTTGCTGTTGTGGCCCCATGCATACCAAAGGAGGGAGCAACCTGTCATGCCTACTGGTTCGCAACGCATCATCGGCGGAGCCACTGCCAGGAATGATCGGGCAATGAATGTTGCGACTCTGCAAGACAGTGCGACACTTCACTGAGTAGTGCAAGTGAGCCTTCAACTTTTGCATGGTATGGAAAAACTTCAAACACGAAGGACACGTAGGGTGATCACAAAGTGTTCTCAATGGTGAGGTGTGTTGGTGCTTCTTGAACATGTGTGCTTCTTCGCCGGCACGGCTTCTACATCTGATCTTGCATGCCATGCAACCAAAAACACCTTCAGCTTCATGGGGGACGGGCTCACCGTCTGCAATTCCCGGTTGAAAATGATTGAATGCCTGAAGTGCTCGACAATGAAGATCAATGACTTGCTGTCGTCGTTGGCGCTGGCGAACTGAGTGCTCGCATGCGCGTCCAATAAGACGCTTCCAGTACCGGGGATGCATCTGCATGAATTGGAGCCACTGCAGGTAATGCACCCTTGGATCCTTCAAGACAGATGCATAACGTAGATTCTGCCACATCCAAATCATGTCTTCTTCCAGCAATTGGCACCAATCTCGATCTTTGGCAAGCAACGTCCAAGCGTCAGCATGGTCTGCTTTAATCAGCGTTGTCAGATAGCGGAGTCTGGCACGTCTCAAGAGCTCACAAGGACTGGGCAATTGGACTGCAGCAAGGACCGCATCATCTGTGTGGTGTTGGTCTGTGGGAAGCTGTGCAAGTCTCTTGTACAGCCCAATGATCTTTGAGTGGTAGTGCTGGTGCGTGCGATTGTCGAGCGCAATCCATGAGTCTGCACCATACAAAAACTTCGTCAGCACAAGGACTTGGAACAATTCACGACGCTTTTCCACCGGCACGTCGCGATTGTGGTACAGCAATTTGCGATGTTGCGACATTGCTTGGTGAGCCACAGCCGCCCTTTGTCTAAGCTCAGCTCTCTGATCACTGGAGTGATGGCAGAGTCCTCCCAAATGCTTGTAGCATGTGACAAGCCTGAGTTGCTGGCATCCTCTTTCTCCAATGATTGGAAGGCATCCAGTGCTTTCTGGCCCATAGTACTGCGTTTTGAGTTGTCTAGAGCCAGCGCCTCTGAAACTGAGTAACAGTTCCGTCTTCCCTGGGGAGAGATTTGGAGAGAGGCAATGGTGGCGGCACAGGTCCAGCAAAAAACATGCAACTTGCGCCATGGTGGCAGGCAGTTGCGACGCTTCAGTGACGGAGATGCAAATCGCTAAATCGTCCATCCACGTCGGCCCTACAAAATATGATGGGCAATCAGCAGGAAAGCAGTGCCCAAAAAGAGGGAGCTGAAGATGCGCATCTATGGGCTGTATCATGTTGTGGTCGATGAGGTACTGCTCCAACTTCGCCAATACCGATCGCCACATGTACCCAAACACAATATCAGCAAAGCTGTCGCCAGGCCGCGTCCCCATTGTCGTTCTGGAGACATCGCCTTGGCCTCTCATCCAAAAATGTGTTGATTGATGAATGGCTCTGAAGCTCCTTTGGTACATTGGACTTAAACCCGCTTGCACAACCGCTGGGGTTCACTCAATAAGTCGTGGATCTGGTGCAAGGCATCGTCAGGCATTTTCAGGCGCACCATGAGATGGGCCAGAAGCTCGTCGCCAACACATCCACCCAGTGGAACTTCCCGCAGTACGCGGTAGAATGCTTCCTGCAAGTCAACAAACAGCAGTCCAGTTGAAAGTCCATGATGTTTCGCATGACGGCAAAACGCACGCGTCTGGTGCATGGCCAGCTGGACCGGTATGCCTCTTCTACCTCCTGTTTGCTGCTTGTGTAGAAACTTCTCGTAAATGTTGGCAGTCTTCTGTCTGATGCTTCGATGCACCGCCTTGCCCAAGTGGTTGGATATGAGCAAGGACCGGAAAGAGCTACAATTTTCCACCGGTCCTTTACCTTTGTACGCTGCAGTAAGAATGCCGCCTTTGAAGGCCAGTGGTTCGTGTCCATGGAGCATGGTCTTCAGCATGCCTGAGTACAACAGTCGAGCAATGGCTGCCGGCTGATGATGGCATAGCTCTCCCGGCAGTCCATCAGGGCCGCTTGCTCGGCCTCTGGGGACACGTCTGAGCGCTTTCTCCAAGTCCAATAAACTGGGGAGCTCACTGAACTCGACATCAAGCGTTGCTTGTTGGAACTCTTGGAGCTCGGAGATCCATGTTCTTCTGAGCGCTGAATGAGACATGCGTTGACCAGCCTCCATGTTCTGGAAAAAATCAATCCAAATACCCTGCGCTTCACAAGGGAGTTGGCATCGTACTCCATGTTCATTGTTGAGCACAGGCATTGTCTTTGTCTTGGCCTTCTTTGGATTGGTAGGTCCAATGAATGGCTTCAATTGTTTCAGGAAGTCATTGGCTGATGCTTCTGGTGGTAGCTGAGCAATACATGCCGCTAACGCCTGCTTCTTGTTGACAGTGAGCTCTTGGCGTAATTGCAACCCTGCTGAACGAAGTCTCGCAACCAAGCCCAGTAGCGTGCAACGCAATGAGATGCCATACTGAAAGGCCTCAAGAAGGTCAACGTGCTCTGATCGTGGCTGGGAGTGTTGAGTCCAAGCCCCAAAGCAGCACTGAAGAAGTGCACGATTGAGCATACGCTGCGTCTCCTTGATCTTTTTCTTGTACTGGATCTTGTCAGTGCGGAACTGCCACGCTTTTTCTGTGATGTAGAATTTCTTGCACAGGCTGCCTGGTGTGGCTGTGGAACCAAGTACATCGTGCAAGTGCTTGGTAATGCAGGCTGTCTGTTGTTCTACATCGTTGTGCCAGCAAAGCTCCGAAATGCCAAGAATCTGGTTGCGCATCTCCGGATGATGTTGATATCTGGCAGCCTTGTAACCGTGTCGTTGACGCCCTTGTGTAGTTGATGCAGCGTGACATTCATGCCACTGCATCTGAAGCGCAACTGGTTTGTGATCATCATGCATGGTGGCCAAATCGTACTCTTCGAGCACTTGCGAATGTGTACATCGACCCAGCCATGTGCGCGGAACAGCAATGTGATCAATACAATGCTGAGTGCGACCACTGCAATGCGTCCAAGTATTGTTGGAGCCATAGTGGATGTCACTGGTGGCAGGCAGGACGAGCTCATACATGTCGAGAATCTCACGAAAGGCTTGCGTGTTGGCAGATGATGGAAAGCCTTTCTTGAGGACTGTACGACCATCAAATGCACCTGGCTCTGCGTTGGCATCTGCA